AACAACTGCGGCCCGGGAGAGGTACAGTATCCGCGCGGCCCTGCCCCGGGCGGGAGCGTCTTCCCTCGGGCTTCTGAATCTGGACGGGAGCCTAAGCGCAGATCCCCGCGCCTCTGTGATGAGGGCCTGTGGGTCTCCCACGCACGGCCTCTGGCTCCACGGGGGACCATTTAAGATGGTCTTGGTTGCCGGCTCTGGGCCTCCCGCTCGGTTGCTATAGTTGCTGTGTGCTTTCTTTCTTGAGCAGCCCGGATGGCAGTTACACGGAGGAGCAGAGCCAGGAGAGCGAGGTGAAGGTGCTGGCCACGGACTTCGACGACGAGTTTGACGACGAGGAGCCACTGCCCGCCATCGGGACGTGTAAAGCGCTCTACACCTTCGACGGTAACACTTCACGACACCGAGTTCCCACTGTCCAGAGCTGTCTGAGCACCCGCCCTGCCTGTGGCTGCCTTTCTGCTGATCCCCCCAGACCTTCCTCTCACTCCCTTTTGTTCTGAGGGTATTGTCATCGTCAGGTGCTGGCTGTGTATTTGCCGTTGGGCCCATGTAATTGAACAGCCTTCATGGAGCTTACGTAACCGCAGCAGAGTAAGGAGTAATGGTCATTTCCTGCATTTGTTCAATATGTACAGAACTCCTGTCTTGAGAAGACTCCCCAGGGGGTGGGATGCAGGCAGTGCGGTGTGGCGTCCACCCCGGAGAACAAGCAGAGTTGTGTCTAGGGGGCAGCTTCAGCCCCGGGGAGGGGCACAGATAGGCAGAGGGCACGGGGGACCAGGCCTGGGAGGTGTGGCTGAGCCCAGGTGTCATAGGTGGTCAGAGAGGAATCTAAGACCAGAGGTTGGCAGTGCCATGGAGTGGGGGAGAGGAAAGGACACATTTGGATTGTAGGCAAACACTGAGGACGTACTGAGAGGACTTGGGAGAGACCTTGCCTGACCAAGCTGGACCTGGGACGTTTGTTGTCATGTGTGGAGGAGAATTAGAACAGGTTGACGGTTGGAAAGGGGAGCCGGCTGTCGGGAACTGAGGAACCTTGACCCAGTCAGTGTCTGCAGACTGTCACGAAGCTGCGGGAGGGCGGAGTGAGATAAGTTGGGGAAGCCTGGCATAAGTGCATTTTCACTGTGACGACAAGAAAGGGAAGGACCAGGTTAGATGTTCCAATTTCACTTCATGTCTAAAGCACCCCCACACCCGTGACCGCCCCTGAACCAGGCGCCTTTCCGAGGGCTGTCGGCAGTGGTGGCCGGTCCCGGAAATTATCTTAGCGAACGGCCTTGGGATCCTCAATGGATGAACGGACGCAGAGATGCCGCAGCTAACACGCTGCTCGGACTCCTGGCTGATTGCAAGTGGGAACAAAGCGGGAGGAAATCAAAGACGAGGCGCGAGGGACAAGGGAGACGCCGCTGAAATGGGAGAGGAGGGGGTGTATGAAGAGGGAGCAGCCATGAACCCAGGTCCGTCCGCTGTGTTCAGATTTCAGGACAACGCTAGGTCCAGATGTGCTCGGGCCGAAGAGGGAGCTTCGACTGGGGAAGGCGGTGGGGGTGTGGGGGTGGCCAAAGCCCTGGGAGTATTTTCCACGGAGGGCGGGAGGGCGGGAGGGAGGGAGGAAGAGGGGGGAGAGGAGCGGAGAAGACCGAAGGCTTCCCCGGGAAAGTCCCTGCGGCCTAGCCCGGTGGGAGGTGGCGCTCCTCGCCTTGTTGGAAGGGGCAGGGCCGGGCACCTGCGGACCCGCCTCTGCTTTCACTGCACCTGTTTCCTGGCCAAGCTCCTGTTTGCCCGTAAACCTCATATATTCCAATCTTGTTTTCAGGTCAGAATGAAGGAACCATTTCAGTAGTTGAAGGGGAAACGCTGTACGTCATAGAGGAAGACAAAGGTGACGGGTGGACCCGCATTCGGAGAAATGAAGACGAAGAGGGCTACGTCCCCACCTCATACGTCGAAGTGTATTTGGACAAAAATGCCAAAGGTGCTAAGACTTATATTTAATACAGCTTTTTAAAAACTTTTTAAAAGCAATTGGAGTTGTTTCTCCCCACAACTGTGACTGCTCCAGGCAGTTCTTCAAAAGCCTGGCCGGAGAGCCGCCCGCAGAGCCTGGCTCGGGCCGCTCCGAATTCCTTGGCTAGTCTTGACTAGTATCGAGTTTCGCTTGCTGATGGCATTTATGTGGAAAGCTGCCAACTGCCAGTTTACAGCTGTGGCATTTGAAGTCGGGTAAACACGTCTCCTTCCGGCAGCATCTGTAGATAACAACAAAAAGTTGCCTTCTAGCTTCTAATCAATAATCCCCAGTTTCAAAGGCCACCCCCCCCCCCTGGCACAGCAGATTCAGCCCTCATTTGTATCTCGTGTCTGCCACCAATGGAACTACCATAGGTTACATTCTGTAACTTAGTACATTGAACTATGCTAGTTTGTTACATTTTACAGTCATTGACTTTGGAGGAAGTCATAAATAAAGCTCTTCCTCCTTGAATAAAAGAAGCAAGTAGAAGATTCATTTATTGGTATCAAAAGTGTGTAATTTTACCTAAACCTGGTAAAGTCACTGTTAGATCATCGAGATTATCCTATTATGTCTATTTGATCCCAAACAAGCAGCTGAAATCTGGAAAAGTTTGGTCAATTTTACCCAGTTGATTTTTTTTGTTTATTTGTTAATCCTCACCTGAGGATATTTCTTCCATTGCTTTTCAGAGAAAATGGAAGGGAGGGTCGGGGAGGGAGAGAGAGAGAGAGAGAGAGACTGGTTGCTTCATACACACACCCCAACCAGAGGTGGGAAGAGAACCTACAACCCTGGTACATGCCCTTGATCAGGAATCGAACCCGAGACCCTTTGGTGTGTGGGCCAACACTAACCAGCAGGCAACACCGGCCAGGGCCCCAGTTGATTTTTACACACGACTCTCGATCTCCCCTCCGAAGTTGACAGCCGGTCAGCTTTGCCAGTGCCCTTTAGGGGAGCGTCTGTAAAAACAGCACTTGCTCTGCTCTGTCCTGTCGGAGGGGGTGTGGCGAGAGGAGCTGTGGTCGGCTGACCCTCCCCAGGTGGGGCTGTGTTCACACAGACACATCCCCCATCCCTCACTTTTTAAGGGGGGATTAAAAGAAATCATTGGCATCTTTAAGCCCCCAAGTGTGGGTGGACTGAAAAATTGTTTTTGAGTTGCTAGCTGGCCTCATACAGTTAACTGTAGCCAGAATCAAATACACCGTTTCACCATCTTCCAAGGAAACTGGGTCACACAGGGATTTGCATTTCGAAGTTGGCAGGACCGGCGGTGAGATTGTCACGTGCACAGGCGGTGCCAAGCCCAGTGTTCGTGCCCATTGCCAGCATCCGCCCTGCGATCATGTAGGACAGCTACCGCGGCTCAGAATGAAGGTGTTCGTCCAGGTTCCCCTTTCGCTTGGCTTTGGAAAGTATTCGTGTCCTTTAAATGGGAAATGAGCTCCTCGCCTGGACACTGAGGGCTCCTTTCAAAAGCTCAAGTCAACTGGGAGCTGATTTTTAAAGCCACAGCAGCGCCCCGGGTGGGAGTCCAGGACCCGACTCCAGCAGGAAGTTCCCAGCCATTGCTCCCAAGGGCCACCGAGGTGGAATTTAGTAGCTTTTAGGTAATGACAGCCTGATTTTTAAAAATGCTTTTTATTTTTAAATACACAGACCAGGGAGCTTGCCAAGCTAGTGGGTCTCGTCACCCAGAGCCTCCCAGTGGTCATGTGGGACACACTTGAAATACAGTCTCAAAGGCAGAAAACCGATGGGTCAGCCTGAGTGTTTAGGCAGAACTTTGTCATTCAGATTTCCTCAGAATTATTACACCGATCACAGCACGCCGCCTGAGCCCAGCCCTCTCGGGGTTCTCCCCCCTGTTCAGCAAGGCAGCGAGAAACCCGCCCCGCTTAGACCACGGCTGTGGCTTCTTGGGCAGCAGGAGGTCACAGCTGAGGGCCTGTAACCTCATTTCCAGCCGATGAGCTACTGGAGAAAGCACCCTGAACATTGCAAAAGTCTGAAATGGGGCCAGACCGCTTAGCCTTTTACAAGCGGTATTCCGTGAAGTTTCTCCCTTTGTTTTGTTTTTTTTTGTTGTGTTTGTTTTTGCTTTAGTGGTATGCAAATTCGATTCAGAAAACAGCTCCGTTGGTTTTCGGGAGGAGCGGTGTGGGTGCATAAATTATTATTATTAAGTTGTACCCTTTGTCTCAATAGCCCAGAAATGGATGTAATATTGACTCAACAGTGATACTTTGTAGTTTGAGTTCACTGGAACAATTCCCCCAGGACCAGGAATGGCCCTTTCCGCCCAAAGTATACTTTGTTTTCTTCCCTAGTTATCTGCTCAGACCAAAGCAGCCAAGTCCCAGCTTGTTTATCAAGCTTTCTCCTCTTCCTTTAGCGCTTCTGTTGCTAATGTGTGTGCAGAAGCCATTCCCTCCCTGTTCA